CTTACTCTGCGTTGTTTTCTCTACTTACAGATTAATAGTCATAATGAGCTTTAGTGTACTCCAATGTGTCCCATGCAAAAACCTGGCCGGCTATAGCCAACAGGTTCTCTGGTTCTATTACAGTTCTGGGCAGATTTTTAGACGGAACGTTCACTAACAACCTGACCTTTCGACCATTTCGTTGGCAATGACTCATGCGCAAGACAGTAGAAACGTCAAGCCACTTTGAGCGCCCCACTTTGAAGTAGTCTTCCTAGCGAAAAAAGGCGCAAAAAAACTGTACAGAAGGAGCATTTGAGTAACTTAGGTTTGCTGAAGTGATGGCGCTCAATTATGGCACTTGAAGGATTTGCTATGGCCATAAGAAATGACGGGAGACGTTCAGTTCTCCTCCTAGGTCAGGTGACCAAAGCTGCGCGATGATTGAATCCTGAGGTAGGTTTAGGCTTAGGCTTAAGCTTGTTGCGAGCAAATCGGAGGCAGGGTCAACCCTACGTTGCTACAAGTAGCAACGGGGGGTCGTAGTTTGTTGAAGTTTGTGGGGGGGTCGTACTTGTTTCGGTAGCGCGAAATTACATGTGTGAGGTGAGAGCGCGCGGGAGAAAAGAGTGAAAATGAAGGGAAATATAGGGAACTTTTGCGGTTTGGTAGTTATACCCCCGCTCGACGGTGTTTTTTGAGGGAAAAAGTGGTTGTGAAGAGGGGGTCGTATGAAACTTCTCGTGAAGGAGGGGGTCGTAAAAATTTTGCAAAAAGTACCATAGGACCGACCCTGATCAGAGGTGCCTCGTTTGAGCTGCCCTGACCTCAGGAGGACAACTGTTGCACACTCAGAAATAACGGGTTGGAAACAGCTTGCGGCTTTATACTGTGCTGCGTCGCTCTCGATGAACCACTGCGAGACTGAATTCGGTAACTTATCGGTTGAATACTGACCCAAATTTGGTGAAAGGTCATTGGCTGTGATAATTCTCGTTCGGGACTGATGCGGCTGTATCTTTCGCGCATGTTGGTCTAGAGACAATTGAGATGAAAGTTTTATCACATTATTATGCGCACACGAAACACGTATAGGAATGGCTGTGACAGTGAGAACATATTTACAAACAGAATTTTGGATTGAGCTCCTTCACTCGTTCCCCTTGCGAGGGAGAGAAATCGCTCGATTCACACGGCACCTACTCGATCGACGCTTAAAGCGAACAACACACTAGCAATGCTAAGCCTGACTTCACCTATCGCTTGAAGATCCGCTGCGTTGTGGACTGTCCGGCTGGCCGGCTGCTCTCGGTTTCCATCTGATCCAACAGCGAACCTTTTCGGGATGTGATTTAGCACCCCGTTCGACTTCGGTTCAGTTGTTGGTGCAAATGGAAGCCGTTTCGCGTTCGTCACAGCGTTTCGGCGACGCAAGAGGTGCTTTCAGCGAACTCGTTTGACGGCAGTTTCGCTATTGGCTTACGAGATCATGTCAGAAATTGACCTGTACTTCACTACGTTTCCTTTGCAGTCCTACCGCCTGCACAACGACTCGGCACTGATCACAGAAACAGTTTCGCTGAATCGCGTCCGTTTGGCCGAGTCGATGGATGATGTTTTCCGCAGTGGCTCACCGCTGGTAACAGGTGCATCATCGTCGGGCTTCGGTTGCTCTTTACCTTCTTTTGCATCGCTACTCGTCGATGGATCGCCGTCCGTTCGCTCCGAAAACTGGCTTTCCCGTCGAGCCTCGATGTAGGAAACGACCGTGGAAAACTTGGTTCGAGCAGAATCTTTTCGTTGCACGTACCCATCACGAAACTCCAATTCCATATCTTCTGAGTTCATTTGACTTCTTTTCTTGGACATTGGAAACGAAGAAAGGAAGTCTTCGGGCAGTTTTCCTAAACACAACCAGCTTAACGTACACCACGATAATGACACTTGATCAATGAGATATTCGCTTTAGTGCGTTTGAACTGGACAGTTTTTCGCTGATTTTTCTCCACACTCATGAAAAGTTCAGGTGAAACTGAAGAGGATAAGGCGTGTTGTAATAACATGTGCAATGGAGAAGAACTTCCATCACAATGACGGAAAAGGCGGAGAAATGATGAAATGGTGTCACCCACCCGCACATCAACTAAGAGGTTTTATACATGGTCAAAACAAACACCGCCGTCGCATCATTTTTTGAGGCCAAAACGTTTTAGCGGGGAAGAGGGAGGTCAGAGGGACAGATGATGTAACCATTAGTTTTAGGGCAAGGTCTGCAGATCGGCGTCACTTCTCAGAAACCGTCTGTCTCATGCGCGATGTTAAGCAGTCAGCGATCGTATAATCGCAACGTGAAACGCTTACGACATTTCGTGTGAGTGGGAATCTCAGATCGCCCTTGAAAGACTGCTAGCGCAGAAATGGAGAACGTTTAGCGGGGTAATTGCTTCATACTTGGCTAGCGCTCTCATTTGAAGAAGAGAAGATACTAACCTCGAGAATCTTTCGGCCCACAGCAGCAAGTACACATGATAAGTGCGCAAAGTATGATCGGAATCATAGCAATGGAGAGCGGAATGAGCAACATCTCCACTTGGAATCGGCTGCATGCCCGGAACTCCACCTCAGCTTCTCGCTTTCGTCGATGATTCATTTGTTGCACATCCTCGAGCAGGTTCATCGAATCCGTGCTGAAATAATAGCGGTTAGAGCTTTAAGCATTTAATGGCTTCAAGTCTTGACGAAATGAGTCGCGCGCGGCCTGATAATGATCGCCGCGCGAGCGGTCGTCCAAGCACATTGGGACGTTTTTCTGTACCCGCTTCTCCTCGTCTCCCATGTTCCTCTTTCTCCAGCGTTTTTCTAGCATTTCCGTCGCGAACGCAGTTTTATGACCGCGGTCATCAACTCGTCAAAGGTCAGTGTTCTTACAGTGATAAATCGCATCCTATATAGTTACTCGGAAGTAATCATGAGGTTGACGCGATTTTTCTATGGCTCTATGATGCACCGAAAAAGATGACACCATCTCTGTTCATTCGTTTAGACCCAAAGGGAGATGGTGTGACAGAGACAGTGGCCCTAACGCATTTGTTTCATGGGAGAACTGCTAAGAAGTGGGATAGGATCAAGAGGTGAGCGGCCGGGCCGGCGCTGCGCACACAGCTCCGTCTCACCGGCGATGGCGCCCCAATGGCGAGGTGATCCGTCTTCGTTCGCCATCGTGCACTCCTTCGATACGTGCGGATGATAACGGAAGTCCTTCCGCTCATGCGTGTGCACCCTTAGCGCTAAAGTGAAGGTTAAAAGCAGAAACCTTTGGTGATTTTCATTGCTGCCTTCGTTGAGTGCAAATGATGGTCAGCAAGTGCACAACGGGAGGAAGTGAAGGGTCGCTGTGGACTTTTGAACTTTTACCACGTCCTACGTGATACGTCAAAGTTCCATCCGAACCGGCTGACTGTGACAAACCGGAAAAATATCACGTTTTCGAGAGACACCTCGGCTCCGTTCATGGACTTTTCTGACTTTTCTGGTGTAAACTAATTGGTCTTTGTACTTCGTCGATCCATCACCTGCAGGCACAGGGGTAGAAATGCGTTCTGATGCAGCGGAGGTGTGTTGATGGTTGGCTGTTAGCAGAGTGTGACAAAGCAGGCTTGTTTCTCTATCCAGTTTACAGACGGGATCACATCTCGAAGCGCAGACGATGTTACAATTCACTTACACACGCGCGAACACATACATCTGGTTCGGGCCAAAGGAAGGCGCAATGATTGGGAAATGCCATGTGACTAACGAAAACTGCTTCGTTCTGCTCTTTAATAGAGCCCTTAGACCTACTCGAAATTTTTTTGGCGCTCATGTCATTGGGAGGGGGGGGGGACACTGAAGTGATTGAGCCACTCACAAAACTTGCGACTGAGCCTTAAGATGGGAAAAAGATTCTGGGGTTCTGGGGGAAGACGTGAGCAACTTCTTTTCTCCCTCTCTTGCATTCCTCCCCTCTTCTGGGCTTAGTCCAATGGTCACTTACCGCAGCGCTCTTTAGTGCGCCTGTTTTGACCTTCCCAGAAATAGTTCCAGTTTGGGTTGCGCTCCTGGCTACTCATCTTCGTAGTAACTCGTTAGTACTTCCTTCGGCTATCCTAGCAACAGTATGGATAAGAATAACAAACGGCTCATTTCAAGCGTACTTTTGATAAGGACCCGTGGATGTCCCACATTCCACATATCCATCCTGCCCATATCCAAATCTACTTGTCTGGTCTACCACCCTGGAGCTCCTCCACCCTTGGGCCTAGGCAGAGGTGTCCTTTTCCCCTGGTCCACGACCGTTTCCTTGGACCACGGTAGGCGCAAATGTGGAAGCATCTCAGGGTTCTTTCCAAATTACACCGATACTTACTAGAAATATACTTTAAATGGGTGTCGATTACGTGTAATGAGCACACTCTTCCTTATCTTGAGCGTTGGGGAAGGAGTGGAGTGGTCCCGTCGAAGCTGGTTTAAACTGTCTCCCTTCCCCTCTACGGCCATGAGCGTCTTACTTTCCATTTGTGTAGGCTGATCAAGACGTACTTCTCACCTGTTCGTGCCAGTGGCGTTTTGGTAGCAGTGTTTGGTGCAGGATCGACAAACCGGCGACGATTTCGTGACGTGCCATGCCATAACCACCAATGCACCTACCAGTAATACTTTCCCCATTTCTGAAATAGCCCAAATAACGTTGTGATAGTTTCTTTCCCCGAAACATGAATAGTCGGGTAAAAGCGAATGAAATATGACAGAAGGAAAAGTAGAGGAGGTAGATCTCGACAAGGAGTGAATGGTGAGTTGGTGAGATGTCGTGCGTAGTGAGCGGAAATGGTAGGTGCAGGGGTCTGAACCCCATCAATCTCTGTTGCAAACTGCGAAAAATCGGCAAAGGCGCAGACTATCAGAGAAAATTTACGATAAAGTTCAAACTCGAGACGACACGTCAGCTGAAGGCGATGTCCTGCCCATTTATTCACGGCCGTTTTGGTAAAAACTGTTGCGTGACGTGCTTTAAAAGTGAATCTAAGCTATTGCTTTAGGATGTGATAACACACGGAAAGCTGGTTACAGCAAGCCCTATTAGGCCCTCACCCTACTTAACACCATGTGAAGAGCGAATTTCAGACGAGTTCTATTAGAGAAAACTGAACAACTGCACTTTAGCACTACATTACATACACTGTTAAAGAACTGTCAGATTCCATCGATTACAAAGCAGAAATCGAGTGTGACTGGAGCTGAGAAAACAGCTGTTTCTTAGCTGGTGAGCGTACAGAACATCTCTGTCCATGAAAATCCGCATGCAGACGCGAATTGTTTAATTCTCATCACTTCCTGTTCTCAGGCTAATTTTATGGGAATAGCGACGACTGAAGGGCAAGGAATCGTCGCAATACTTGGCAATGATTGCATGGGAAATTGAGCGTGATGGCACAGTCAGCACTATCATCATCCTATACCCCTATTCCGGAAACGAGAAAAGCGTCGAGTGCACACCACACACCACAATTGACGACAGCCAAGAAAAAAGTGGCTTTTTCTTTCGACTTGTTTTTGTTTGCTAACTGCTGTTCTGGCCACAAAGGAAAGGTGTGGGTTTGACTACCGTCTGGGGCGAAAGTTTTGTTCACAACCAAGCATTCTTCTGAAGCTTTTTCTTTTTCTCTTGGCCGTCGTAACTTGTGGTGTGTGGTCTGCACTCAACGATTCTCGTTTTCCGAAATAAAGAGTATGTACAGTTTTGTTGTAGCCTGCCCTAAAATTTCAGTTTCTCTTATTAAATTCACCTTTTAGCCTCTTCGCCGTCGCCTGAGCCTGAAAGGCCAAAAGCGATGGAGACCCAACCTTTCGTGCAAACAGTCTTGAAGACTCGCCCTTTCTCTTCGCCTCAACTGAACAACCCACAACTAACGATAACGGAGGTGTTCGAACATATTGTCATCAAGACGACGAAAGGTTCATTTGATGGCTTTCGAAGAGAGCGAGCGGTCGGCGGAAAAAGCACCGGAAGGCCATGAACAATATATCACAGCAGAAAATCTTTGCATGCATAGCGAATCATTAATCAAC